ATATTGTTGTGATACAATTTTCACGCGCTTATACCTTTCTAAAAGTGTTTGTTGCACTTGAGTGCTTCAAGCCCGATTCAAACCATTTAAATGCATGAAAGCCAGCGAATCTGTTCCTTTCAAATCGGAGTCGACTAACACCGGAGCGAGTAGCTCTAGTGTTTCAAGCTCTTGAAAGGAATACAACTATTACTATAACCGAATTTTCGCGACGAACTACTTCCATGATTCCATATGAACTCAAACGCTTTCGCGAGAAACTCATAACATTATATTAAACGTAGTTCGCCGGAAGCATGGACGCAACTCCAAGCCAGCGTTCAAACTGATGACGTTACAAATGAACTATTGATGAACTACATTCGTCGCGAAAATACGGTTTAAGTTGTCAGCTGTTTAAACAGCCTACGTCAAGGCGAGAAATAACATGCTGCCTACGTCACAACTGGTATTTTGGCGAAGGGAGGGATTTGCTACACACAGGCCCTATGAGGATAGGCCATCTTGTAGTAGTAGCACGTACGTAGTAGTGTGTATCATCCTTGACTGTTGCCAATGCTTGAGTAGTTGTGAAAACATCGCGTTCAGCGGCGCTTCTCTAGCGGTAAAAATTTAGGCTTACCATTCTTACCAACTCAACTTATGCATAACTCCCAACGATGCGTTCAGGAAATTTACATCCGCTCTATCTCAACTGTCCTTAACGGCTTTACGCTGCAACTACTCGTAGTACTGATGACCGCACTGAGTAATAGTGAACGTACCCATTAATAGTTGTATTCCTTTCAAGTGTTGGAAACACTCGAGCTACTGGCTCCGGTGCTCAGTCGCCCCCGATTTGCAGGGAACAAATGCGTGGTGCAACAAACACTTTTCGAAAGGAATAGGGGCGTGAAGCCCCGGAGCTGTTCCGGAGCTCCTCCTAGGTGTGAAAGGAATACAACTATTACGTAGCTGCTTTCAGAGCCGCTTTCCAGTATGCACATTGGCGCGCTCTAGAGCACCTCGGGGGCGTCACGCACTAGATTTGTACCGTTCCAGTATCGTGACGTGAGACGCCCGTCTTAGTGTCAAATATGTCAAATTTTAAAAATAATTATCTGTTTGTTTGTGCAGTTTGTTTTTTTATTTATCATAAATGAAAGAGAATCAGAACTATATTTTTTAAAATGTTCAATCTTGAGATATAACAAGAAATAAATAAATAAATAGCTACCCACGGTGACAGCTGACAGGTCGACGCGTACGTACAGCTCGGGAGCTCGACGCCCCGAGTAGCTCCGGGCGTCACACTCCCATACTGAGCCGCTTTCCAGTATGGGAGTTTGACGCCCGGAGCTACTCGGGGCGTCGAGCCCCCGAGCTGTTCGTACGCGTCAACTTGTCAGCTGTCACATCTGTGGGTGGCTATTTAGCACTAGATTTGTGCCGCTCCAGTATCATGACCTGTGACACCCTAGCCGCTTTCCAGTATGGGAGTGTGACGCCCGGAGCTACTCGGGGCGTGGAGCCCCCGAGCTGTACGCACGCGTCAACCTATCAGCTGTCACATCTGTGGGTGGCTATTTATCTATTTATTTCTTGTTATATCTCAAGATTGAAGATTTTAAAATATATAGTTTTGATTCTCTTTCATTTTTGATAAATAGAAAAACAAACTGCACAAACAAACAGATAATTATTTTTAAAATTTGACATATTTGACACTAAGACAGGCGTCTCACGCCATGATACTGGAACGGTACAAATCTAGTGCGTGGCGCCCCCGAGGTGCTCTGGAGCGCGCCAGAGCGCGCCAATGTGCATACTGAGCCGCTTTCAAGTATGCACATTGGCGCGCTCTGGCGCGCTCCAGAGCACCTCGGGGGCGCCACGCACTAGATTTGTACCGTTCCAGTATCATGGCGTGAGACGCCTGTCTTAGTGTCAAATATGTCAAATTTTAAAAATAATTATCTGTTTGTTTGTGCAGTTTGTTTTTTTATTTATCAAAAATGAAAGAGAATCAAAACTATATATTTTAAAATGTTCAATCTTGAGATATAACAAGAAATAAATAGATAAATAGCCACCCATAGATGTGACAGCTGATAGGTTGACGCGTACATACAGCTCGGGGGCTCAACGCCCCGAGTAGCTCCGGTCATCACACTCCCATACTGGAAAGCGGCTCTGGAAAGCGGCTCTGTCTCACCGCCCTCCCAAGGATAATACACACTACTACTACAGGATAGCCTATCCTCATAAGGCCTGTGTAGAACAAATCTGACGCCCCCCACCACACCAAATCACCAGTTATGACGTAGGCAGCATGTCGTTTCTTGCCGTGACGTAGGCTGTTTGCACCGCAGGTTATGATTTCGCGGGCTTTTGCTTTATGCATACTTGGTTTTAATACATTAATTTACCATTCTAAAACACCTATTTTTTAGATCTCGTTTGCATCTTCCTATTTGCCTATTATGTTAATCAAAATTAAATAATATTTTTCATCATAAATTTAAATTCTAAACTACGACCGCTGGCGCAAACAGCTGACGTCGCTGACGACTTAATTAATGACGTCGGCAATGGTGATACGCCAATATGCCGTCGATTACCAATCCTTAGTATTTAGTATTTATTATCCTTGCCTCCCTTCTGCCCTGCCCCCGGACCGGACGCATCCAAGGATGATACACATAGCGTGCTCCCTGAACACACCCATTCGAAACATGGTGCACTCCGACTGAGCCAGGCCATTATTCGCCCAATCTGAACAGCCAAGATAGGGATTAGGGAATTCCTTCATGTATGAAGAATTACTAAACGAACGATTCAACTCAGGAGATAGGTTGCCCATAACTTTATGACGCTGGGTGCCTCAACAATGCAAATCTCCATAAGGCCCCCAAATGCGTCATGAAGTTGCCCGATTACCAGACAACCTATTAACATTAGGCTGTCAAGCTTCGCGAACGTCGTAGCGTGGTGTAGATGCAACGATATTACACGTGTTTTATTATAAATTTGTTAGTTTAACAACAAAAAAAATCAACAAAACTACACAAAAACCCATGAACAACGCAAAAATTAAAGAAAAACAACTGCCCAATCTGCCCTACCTGCTTGAAAATTGCATTTCATAGCGTTAACGCGAAGACGTAAGCTTTTTTCACTTGCGCGAAATTCGCTCTTTTTTGACATTGCTTCGACAATTTGACGTTTGATACATGCATAAAACGTCAAATTGTCGAAGCAATGTCTAAAAAAAGCGAATTTTGCGCCAAAAGAGCGAATAGAGAGACTTTTTGCACCTCTTATTTTGCCATTCCGCTGTGGTTATCGTTATACTGAGTATGCCCAGTAGCTAAAAAATGTTCGTTGTACTTATCAACCACATGCAACGAGCGGCGTTATTTAAGGAGGAATAACCTTGTGCTTATAGCTATACGTAAGGTTATAGTCATCCCGTTTTAATAGATAATTAATTAAAATCCTCTGAAAATCTGAAAAAAATAAGTGTGGATTATCATTTTGACAGATAGTTGTATGTAGTATGAAATTGGTATACAACCGAAGGCGCAGGCGCAGTTCATAGCCCAGAGGCAAAATAGAAATAACGGAAATATGTAAACGTTTGGCGATGCAAAATCTCTGATTTTGAAGGTCGTGGTGATCGTTATCGCCGATAAAGGTATCTAAAACTGATCCAAAAACTGCTGTTATTTTAAGCCTGGTGCAAAAAGTCTCTTATTGACGCCGCTCAAGCGCTTTTATAGTGGTACAGAATTGCTCCGCGAACAGAGAGTTGTACCAGATGGCGCAAATAGCGTGATCCCGGCCAAAGTGTGCATTTGGGTGGTTGAACCGCTGGGTTAAATTTACTCAGAGCAATCAGGACGGCCAGGGCGTGCTCGGGCGACACCTGAGGTTCAATTTGAACGCGCCCCTGGAATTGGTCAGAAACAATACAAATTTTGCGCATGCGCATAAACTAGTTCTAATACTTTCGGAACTGTTTCAGAACGGCTCTAAAATCCGGGGTAGGGTTAGAACTCATAGTGACGTCAGAGTAGAATTTTCAAAACGTAGACAGTTTGACAAAGCTCTTGGTCGGGACTTCGCATGTTATTCCTTCCCGCAAAAACTCCGTATAGGCGAGCCGCGGTAGCCAGGCGGTACGTGATAAGGGTAGTATATCAACTATCAATTGATATAATGCTGGGTCTATCTTCCTTCCTTGTTTTTGAGTGGGTTTCCAGTGATTCTAGTGCAGGAGAATAATAATGTTAGAAAAAAAGTTAAACGCATCTCGTAAGAGTCAAAGTTCCTTACAAAAATTGCTGTATGAGCACAGCTTTATTAGCATGGGTTTATCAGTCTTTACCTAATGAGTTAAGTAACTACAACTACATTACATATACGTACCTATGCATATACGTACCTATACGTAACTCTCTATAGTTTATAGTCAAATAATAATTATTTTTTAGTTATTCATTATAATACATAATTTTAAATTCCTCAATAAATAGCACCCATCAACTCTAAATAGGTGCGTACTTATCTTTATATTTTATATTTATTTAATTAAACAATTAATAATCGTAGTAATTATCATTATATTTTGAAAAGTTGTTTGGCTTTCTCCAGAATCTTTATTAATCAGCTCAGCTTTTGAAATTATTTTTTTTCCCCAATTTATCTTTGTAAATTGCAATAGAAATCTCTCTTTACTCTGCAGACACCAAGCTAACAAAGCATCCTAACAAAAACAATGAAAAAATGGAAAATAAGTTGTTACGCTTTTTTATCGTTAAGTTTACTGTTGAATCCAATGGAGTTAATTTGTGAAACGTGCATGAAATCATGGAAGTCGCATACAAAAAAATTACCAACCTCACCAACCCTGCATGGTAGATCCCTAACCTAGAGTGAGCGCCAAGGGCCATCTAGCGTCAGCGTATCGTATTGAATCAGCACATGATTGGATGGACTCCACCACTCTACTCTCAAGTTTAGAGCAGCGCGTGACGCACGTGACGTCTTAAATTATCATTAGTAACTGGAACCCATTACTTCATTTCATTTTGTGTGTGGCAGTGTGAGACTATCCGTCAGTCGCGCAGTACCAGTACATAAGTGGTCGTTCGTCATTCGAGTTTGTCTTTGCGGGTCACAGACTTGCAGTCCCTGCGAGAGTTTCTTTAAAAGGTTTTTTTAATAATTAAGCCTCCAAGATGTTGTCAACCAAACAAGCTGCCAGAGAACATGTTCTGGCCGTATCAAGGGATTTCGTTTCCCAGCCAAGATTAAGTGAGTATCCCCTAATTTGATTGTTATTATTGCCACCCAGGGTGGGTTTTTGCAGGCAAAGAAAATCCTTCCTAATACTAGAAAATACCCTGAAATACCACTGACCTACATTTTTTACCACTGATTTTCCCAACAAATAACCTTATGTTTAGCCTGTCATGTGATTATCTTATGACTGCCACTCCTATGATTATAATACCACATCTTTTTTAAATTTTAAGCCTACAAAACTGTATCTGGTGTGAATGGGCCTCTGGTTATTCTGGAGGATGTCAAATTTCCAAAATTCAATGAAATTGTTGAACTCAAACTGGCAGATGGAAGTCTCAGGTCTGGTCAAGTCTTGGAAGTCAGTGGATCAAAAGCTGTGGTACAAGTTTTTGAAGGCACGTCTGGAATTGATGCCAAAAACACATTATGTGAATTTACTGGGGATATTTTGAGGACTCCCGTCTCAGAAGATATGTTGGGACGTGTATTTAACGGATCTGGAAAACCCATCGACAAAGGTAATATATAGGAAAAGTTGACTATTCCCTATTTTTTGCCTTATTTGTTTTTCATAACTAATAATGGTCACCTGATCTATGATCTATCTAAAATTGATCTTATTTAGTATCAATTCACCTGATTTTTAAATTTCTTTTACTTATTCTTTTTTGCGTAATTTTTGAGGTTTATAAATAAATTTAATTTAATTCAGCATTTCACTTACTTAATTGAGTAGTTTGTCTATTAAAATTTACTTCAACATTCAATTTTCTAAGTTGACAAACATAACTTAATTTCCGAGTTAATTTCCCTTCGACTTCTGATCAAATCAAAAATATGTTTGTTCCTATTTCATTGAATAAACAGAAAAATATGACCTAATTTTTATTAGTATAAGATCCGAACTCGGATCCGAATATTGATAATAAATTGCCATTTATATATAGGAGCAAATTGATATATTTTATTGTTAAAGAACAATACATCTAGGAAATATTAATTTACTGCATAGCCATAACATAAATTCATCTATGTTTATGATCTAATTTTCATGATAAACATGAGCAGCACCATTGACGTGATGCTCTGTGGGAAAATAAAGGTACCTATTGTTCTTTATTTTTACATATAACTTTTATACCTGATAAAAAGTCAGCTCTCAATTTCTGAACAGTTTTATCTTAATAGCACTTCTTTTTTTTAAATATTTTATCTTAATCAGGACTAGTCGATTATACAGGGTGCACCAAATATCTTCGTGCTGCATTAAAAGGTAGACACATTTCCCAAGTATTTGTTGCTTCTAAGCCACCAATTAGTTGTGGAATGAGATAAACTTGTTTGTAACTATCTGCAAAAAAATAATAGTTATTTATGGTACTAGTGTGTTATGTTGAAAATAAGTCACGCGAGAAAAATTCTCAAGTGACTTAGGAAACATAACGCACGAGTGGCATACAATGTTTTATCCAACAAGTAGAAAAAATCGTTTTTTTTATGAGATAATACAAAATAAAATACAAGATTCTATGCGTCGGCGTCTTCCAGCACTATCAGCAGCTCTACCGATATGGGAGCGTCTGGTTCCAATGAACCAACGAATTTTACAATGACTTCAAATTCGAATAAACCGTTAAAGTTTTCTTCAATTTCAATATCAATGTGAATTCTGCTTGTAGGTAATAGTAATAAATGAATAGAAAACCTACTACTTTAAATAAGAACGTGTGTTATAATCCATAACTCACAAATAAATAGAATACTACTTTAAATATGAACGTGAGTTATAATCCATAACTCACTAGTGAGTTATGGATTATAACACACTAGACACTAGTGTGTTATTTGATAGTTTACTTGTCTAAAATGACATTAATAATAATAGTCATAACTGTCATGTGTTGGATAAATAAATTTATTTTAATTTACTTTTTCTAATAAGTTGTTTATTTCTAATATTAGAAGCTCGATTAGAAGGTATCTATGCTGAAAATACAATATTCTAAAATAATGTCATCTGTAATTTGGTCTTCACAATCAGAAATAAACAACTTATTAGAAAAAGTGAAAAAATCTATATTTTTTTTTTTCTTTTTTTTTTTTGGTAAAATCAACTCTTCATAATATTTTGAAAATACATATGAATTAAGGGGTATTTGGAGATGCTGAATTTTATTCTGATACAAAAAATTCTCTAAAATAAGCCCTAATATCTTTTTCCCTCGCTTTTTCCCAAAAATACAACCCCTTTTTACTCCTCAACATTGCACGCCAATGGTAAATAAAAATGTTCACTATGTAAAATAGTTCATTTTTCCAACATACAATCACCACAAAAATTTGAATAAAATCGCAGTATTATTAAATGAGAAATCAGGGTGTATTCATGAAAAGCGGGACACACTGTATATAAATCTGATGTTGCAACAACAGCTACATGACCTTTTTTATGCCTATTTAATGAAAAATCCTCTGGGAAGCCCAGTGGATGACATTATTAGGGGTAGTAGGTAATGAGAAAATGTATTTCTTCATTTTGCTTTCTATCGAAATTATTTCCATTCTGAAATGATTCAGTCAGTACACTGACAATGTAATTTTCTGATGGAACTAAAGAGCTTCATCAGCAACTTTATCCCAGTTTTTAATCATATCTGGTGGTCCCGAGGATGGCCTATACAATAAAATGAGTGAAAAATCAAATGAAATAATCATTTTTTTTTGTATTATCCGAGGTATCATCATACTGAGGTTGAGAAGGTGTCAAAATGACCCAGGGTACTCTTCCATAATCTTTTTTTTTTATAATATCTTTATAAGTTCATAAAATCCTTGCCAAGTTCAATTTGCCTATTAAGAAATTAATGCATGCATGTTACAAGTTTAATGAATTTTTATGAAGTTATTTTAAGCGTCATTATTAACCATTTCAATTATCTAATCCTAAGATTTCTTTGACGCATGTACCTAAGTAGGTACTGCAGTGTATGTTGACATATGAATAAGGTAAATTGAATTGAAAAGTAAACATCCATCCATGTTGAGAGAAAATAGGTGTCATAAGTGGTGATGTGAACAAACGCATTTTTAAAAAAAATTATTTGAAACCTGGATGTAATTAAAATGTTAACTATCTTCTTGTTTAATATTTTGTATCAAAATCCGATCATAAACAGTAACATAATATGTGAACATTTTTATTACATAATAATTACACTTCCGTGCGAGCGGGCTTCGCCGTCGGCGGTCTTCTCAGTATTTACGCTGTTGCCGTTGCTAGTGCGAGATGATTCTCAACTGTCTACTCATCCTTCGCATTGATGGCATTAAATCCAAAGATGAGTAATGCCGGCAGCGCTGCTTTTGACTACAAAATTAGCGCAACCAATAAACAAACCGAATTATTTTATTTTCAAAACTCCTCCTATCCGTCAGTATAGGTACCACTGGTGCCAGTATTTCTGAAGAAACAATAGTCTTTCACGAAAATCTTAAATTATTCGATTATACCAAAGGAGTGGGAGACTTATTAGGACGCAAAAAATATAACTTTTGCTTCGCAAATTACGTATCTCAAACAAATAAATAACCAAGTATTTACCTATTGAACAAAGAGCTTCGCACATCCCCTCGTGTTAGTAAATAACTGGTAAATGCTTTTCATGGATCCGGAAGTTATATCATCACTGACAAAGTGATATCAAGTGGTATGTAGTTGGATTGGAAGCCACATTTGAGTTTGGCTTGGTTCCACATCATCTCAGAAATCTCTTTCAATATTTCAGTTATATTAGGTGAGTTAACAAGTCTATAGCCGAGAATTACTTTTAAAAAACTTTATTGCCGTTACTGCAATATTTAACTGAGAATTGCAATTCCAAGCGAAAGTGTTCATAACAACTAAGTGAAGTCAGCATAAAAAGTGACTACTCGGTATCTCCTTGCTGCATGTAACTCCTGCCTAGACTATCGGTCTAGCCGAGGTAGTTGATTGTCGAATGACATTCTTTTTGTTGGTAGGTGTAATGCAATTGATTTTTTAGTAGGAATTTGTTTTGATGTGAAACAATCTTAAACTGAATCTCTTCAAAAACGGGTACTGAGTTTAAATAGAAACATTCAAAAGACTGGAGTTATATTATAGGGATATGCAGAAGATATTTAGTTATTGAAAATAAAACAATCAAGAGAAATAATTTTTCCATATTTAGTTGATAACATCTTTTATGTATAGATAAATTTCTCTGTTAGCAGTTTTTTGTGTAATAAGAGCTATTTCATTTATTTTTGAATCCAACAGTTTCTCATTATGGCAAATTTCCTTAATTGTATAGGTTATTACCCAAATCTATTGAGACAGCCCAGGAAACAAAGGTTTTACTACGCAAACTTGATGGTAGTCGAGGTTAATTTTTTTTCTTATAGATTTTGAGGTGCTGAATATAAATCCGGCATATTCACAACAAAAATTCACCCAGATCTCCCTGTCAAGCCCCTAAAGGGGGTAGTTTTTGCTTTTTTGCAAACGTAGCCCTCCCTGTGCGTTTTACACAAAAAAACCTGGTAAATTATAGAGGACTATATTCCTTACAATTTCTTCAGCGATATCATATTTCCATCACCTACCCTTTAGCCAGCGTGGCGCTCCAAAGTTGACTAATTTTGAAAAAACATGATTCTGCAAAACAATTTTTTTCCCATCAATACAAATGTGAATCGACCTGAAAACCTGTGGTTATTCATCACAGATGTATGACTGATGTTTTGGTATATTTTTTATGAATGTGCAATTGCGCATTTTTTGAATACAGGGTTTCATCCCCTAAAAAACACACTTTTATATTATTTGCATTATCCATATGTATGTTGCTTTTTCCTCACCATAGAATGCACAGGTAACGAGATAATCGCAAAAAAGTGCTCGCCAAAATTACTTTCCGGGATAAGGGGTAGTTAAGTTGCAGGAGGGATGTTCATGTAACAATATTTATTATTTGTGAAAAGCTCTTTTAGTAGCCTGCCAGCTCGGCTGCCGGCATAATATAATATATACATAATAATGTGTCAGAAAGCGAAAAAAAATATTTTTTATTATTAATTGGTGTCTATACATGTGTATGAAAGGCGTGCACAAATATGGAGCATTGGCAGAAAATGCATTTTGTGGTAGAAATTCGAAAAGAAACTAGTTTTTTAACAGCTGTTCTTTTCGGGGGTTGCATGGACAAAGTGGGGGTATGGTATAGACCTGTTTAAAAAGTAACCTCACATGGATAATCTCTGAAAATTTGAACATGCTAGCATTAGCCGTTCAGATAATAATATAAAGGTGTGTTTTTAAGGGGATGAAACCCTGTATTTCAAAAATGCGCCACCCTCGCTAAAGGGTAGGTGACGGACATATGCTGTCGCTGAAGAAACTGTAATGAATATAGTCTGCTATAGTTAACCATAAAGGTTTTTATGTGTAGAACACACTGGGAGGGCTACGTTTGCAAAAAAGCAAAAACTACTTCCT